ATTTTTTGTACAGATAGAGTGGGAGGGAGAGAGAGGAAGAGATAGAGAAAAACATCGATGTGAAAGGGACACATCGAGTGGCTGCCACCGCACGACCAACCAGGGCCGGGGACAAACTGCAACCAAAGTACGTGCCCTTAGCGGGAACCGAACCCGGGTCTCTCCTGACCGCAGGCCAACGCTCTAACCGCTGAGCCAAACCGGCGAGGGCTAGAGGAGAATCTGTTGCCATGTCTCTCTCCTAGCTCCTGGTGTTGCTGGCAATCCTTGGTGTTTGTTGGGGCTATGGACTGAATGTTTGTGTCCCCTAAAATTCATATGTTGAAACCCTAACCCCCAAAATAATGGTATTTGGACAAACTGCAACCGAGGTACGTGCCTTTAGCGGGAACCGAACCGGGGTCTCTCTGGACCTCAGGCTGAGGCTCTAACCGCTGAGCCAAACTGGCCAGGACCATAATGGTATTTGGAAGCAGGGCCTTTGGGAGGCAATTAGGTTTAGATGAGGGCATGAGGGCGGGGCCTCATGATGGGATTAGTGCATTTATAAGAAGAGACCAGAGAGAGCTTCCTTCTCTTCCCGCTCTGCAGGTGAGGTCACAGTAAAAAGATGGCCATATGCAAACTAGGAAACAAGTTCTCACCAGATCTGCCAGTGCCTTGATCTTGGACTTCTAACCTCCAGAACTGTGAGAAATAAATGTTTGTTATTTAAGCCACCCAGTTTTTGGTAATCTGTACTAGCAACCTGAATTGACCAAGACACTTGGCTTGTGGATGCATCACTCCAATCTCCGCCTTTGTCATTACATGACATTTTCCCTGTGTATGGCTATGGGTATCTTTTCTTATAAGGCACCAGTCGAAGGGCCTACCCTACTCCAGTTTGACCTCATCTTAACTTGATCACATTCGCAAAGATCCTATTTCCAAATAAGGCCATATGTACAGGTACCAGGCGTTAGGACTTAAACACATTTTTTGGGGGGATACAATTCAACCTACAACAAATGCGTAGAGTACGCAGGTGAAACTTGGGAAGGAGTATTCCAGGTAGAGGGAACAGCAGGTACAAAGGCACTTCCAGTGGCAGAAGGGTACAGGTGAGTTACAGAAAATAAATCAGCACAGCTAGAGTGAAGAGTGGGCTTAAGGCATGGCTTGCGTGGCTCACGCCAGGCTTCATAAGTTGTGTGGAATGGTCAGGCTTGGCTAGGCTGCAGTTATAGATAATCCCCCAATCTTAGCGGCTTGACAGTACAGATTTCTTTCTTGCTCATGTCAAGTGTGACATAGGTTAAATAGCTCTTCTCCATAATGTAGCTCTACCATCAGAACATGTGGTCTCCAGGGGAAGGGAGGTCTGGGGGAGGCCCTGGCCCCTACTGTGCACACCCAGAAGTGACCCTTCTACTCACAGATCACATAGCAAGGGGTCTGTTTGGGGGGGGAGGGCATGAATTTCTGACTGCCAACTGTCTCTCTCACACGTATTCAGGGTTAAGATCTCAGAGCAGTGGGAAGCAAACCAGGGTTTTCACACACAGTGTGACAAGGTCCGACTTGGGTTTTAGAAAGTTTCCTCTGGCTGGAGCCAGGGTCAGTCCTGAAGTGGAGGAGCTGGAACTAGTGGGAAGTGGCCTGGATGGGAGTCAACCACCGTAGTCACAACATATTTGTAGTTAACTCCTGCAACTCCCACCTTGCAGGCCCAGCCAAAAAAAAAAAAGAATGTGAGGAAAAATTAATGTAATTTAAAAAACTTTGAAAATGCATTTTGTCCCTGTCCTCTTTATTCCAGACTGATGATTGTACACATTCTTCCACACACATTGCCCTGCAGCCTGTATCCTCAAAGCCAGGGAACTGTACTCTGTGGGCCTCTTAAGGGACTTTCAGTGGTAACTGGGCTACTTGCTGATTTGAGAACCTCATTGTCATGGACGAAGCCCTCTCCTCTAGGTCTGTAGCTGGGACCCAAAAATAAGAGTGGAGATCCTTGTGTCAAAGGGACTTTTTGCTGCTTCCATCTCAGTGCCCTGCCTCTGTCATAAATACACCTGGATGCACTATGAAAGCATTCTGTGCTAAGACTGACCCCCACTGGTCTACAGTTCTTTATAGTTTGTAAAGTGTTTTCCAAGTCATTGCTTCATTTGAGCCTCAGAATAATTAAATCTGTCACAAGATCTAATTCAGACCAAGGAACTCAGTAGCTCAGAGACCCCTTGGCTTATAGTAGCCAGGAGCCTTGGAATAATGTAGTTGGAAATGCTGGCTTTGTGGCCACAGTTTTAAAAAAATTTTTTGCCTTTATTGATTTTAGAAAGAGAGGAAGTGAAAAGGAGAGAAGGAAAGAGGGAAACATTGATGAGCGAGAACATCGATTGGCTGCCTCCTGCATCATCCCTGCTGGGGATTGGGCCCACAGCCTGGACATGTGTCCTGACCGGGAATTGAACCAGCATCCTCTTGGTGCATGGGTTGATGCTTAACCACTGAGCCACACCGGCAGGACCACAGTTTTAGATGTGTGATTTCAGCATTCCCTCTATAAATTAGGGATAAGCACACACAAAATTATTTTGAAGCTCCAATAAAGCTATATTGGTAAAAGCATTTTGCAAACTGTGAAGCATGGTCTGAATGTTGTTATCCTCAGATTAGACATGTATTGAAAGCATTTCCCAGGTTGTATAAAGGAATCCACTTGGACAAGGACAGATTAAGTGAATTGTTGTCCCCAGTAGTTGTGCCGTGGCTTCATTTAAACTATTTAAACTTAGCCCTGGCCGGTTTGGCTTAATGATTAGAGAGTCAGCCCACAGACCAGAGTCGTGGGTTCAATTCTAGTCAAGGGCACGTACCTTGGTTGCAGTTCTGTCCCCCGCCCTGGTCTGGGTTGTTGGGGGACAACCAATTGATGTGTCTCTCTCACACTGATGTTTCTCTTTCAACCTCTCCCTCCCACTCTGTCTGAAAAGAAATGGAAAAATATTCTTGGGTGAGGATTTAAAAAACAAAACAAAAAAAACTATTTGAACTTAATCACCTGAATTATCTTTCTTGCTTGGGCAGCTGCACCCATTATCTCCTGTGAGCCACATCTGACCCTTATGTGTGTGGATGGGTGAGGGCTTAGGTGGAGATGGGGTGGGGAGTTTGTTCTGGATTTCACTGTAAGCCAGATCACTACATGACCAAGGTTTTATGGATATATATGTGAATTTCAGTTATGGAACCTGGTCTGAAGTGGTCAGGTGGGCCTTGGGGTGAACCAGAGGGCATTTGGTCATCTGGGGGTAGGTGCCCCAACTCTAGTTGATATCTTGGGGGGGGGGGCAGCGGAATGTAGTGTTGTGTAGCCAAATCTTCAGATTTTCTGAAGTTGATTACAGTGATACCTCGGTTCTCGAACATAATTCGTTCCAGGAGGACGGTCGAGAACCAAATTGTTCGAGAACCGAAGCAATGAAACCCAATAGGAAATAATGGAAACTGGATTAATTCGTTCCAAGCCCCAGAAAATGCCTATTTACTGGCCTAATTTGTATATAATATGTAGAAAAACATAAGTCTCAACAAGAAATAAAAGTGTACAGTATGTCTAAGGGTTAAATTCAGTGTAAAGCGTGACTCTCTCCACAAAGCGTGACTCTCTCTCTGCACTCACGCTGATGACGCAAGCAAGGCGCGCTGGGCCGAATGAACGCCATTCGGCTCAACTCGGCTCATCTCGGAAGTTCGAGTTCCAAATATTTGTTCGGATTCCAAGACAAAAGTTTCTCGAATCTCCTGGTCGAATACCGATTTGGTCGAAAGTCAAGGAGTTCGAGAACCGAGGTATCACTGTATTTTTTCCAAATGTAAAATTGTCACATTTTTCATTCTCATTGGCTGGCTGGATTGGGGAGTAAACGGTGCCCCATTGCTTTGGGCTTCATTGTTCTTTTATAAATTGGTGATGGTATCACCTTTCATAGGGCTGTTAGGAGACCAGATGAGCAGACAGACTGCCTAGCCCTCCACACTTGATCTGGCTGCAGATATCCAGCGGGCAATCGTCAACTAGTGTTCTGTTGCTATTGGTAATCCCCCAGCTTCAGAGGTTGTAATCCTGGTCCATTTGGGACCAATCACCCATATGAGTAAAAGGAATCATGGGATTATGTAAACCTTTCAAATCTGGTTGTCAAGGAGATAATATTAAGGGGTTTTGTATATTAGAAATAGAGAATTTACCCCCAACCTCATGATTTCATGTTAGTGGCATATTTTCCTTAAAAATTAAATTTCAGCAAAATAAGTGGATTAAATGAAAAAAATCTCATCAAACCTATAAATGCGATTCAAGTCGTTAACGTGGTGTCAGGTGACCTAAGACTGGGGAATACCATGTTCCCACCGTTTCTCCTGCCACATCCTGGTCAGCACGGTAGGCATTAGATCTCCAGAGGACTCCTCCCCCTGCTCGCCTCTCGCTACTGCGGGAGGCCGCAGAAAGGGCAGGAGCGCAGGACTTTGAGGGCACCAAGGTCAAAGGGGAGGGCGAGCTGCACCATAATCCCTCCGAGCTGTGCCGAGGACCTTGGGGGATCCGACGCGCCTAAACTCGGCAGCCCGGGTTCTGCCACTTCCAGCCGGCCGACCTTGGTTTGCAAGAGTCTTGTTCGAGCCCACTTTCCTCTTTGGTGAAATGGAGCGGCGCAGACTGTCATTGCTGGGATTGGGGGCCCCGAGACGAGAGACGTGGCCTAACAGGGCGGAGGGTACGTCTGGGACATCAAAGCCCAGGTCTAGAACGTCGTCCGATCTAGCAACGCTCTGCAGGGCCCAGGCTCCCGCGGGTTCTAAAATGAGGACAAAGCCCACCCGGATCTAGCTTGCGCGCGCCGACGTGGCCAATGGGACGCCGGCGCAGGGTTGAATGACAGGCGTGCGCAGCCAATGAGCATGTATCTTGTTGCGAGGTGGGTCCTCTCCCCACCCCCCCGGACTCCGGCATTATAAAGAGCGCCACGAGTCGGCATTGTCAGGCGGCGGCACTGTGTGGGCCCAAGCGGGTCTTTTAGTCGGTGGGTTCCGTGCAGCGGTGGCCGAGGAGGGAGCGCGCGAGGTTGCGGCCGCCTCGTTGGCGCAGAGAGGGGAGACCGGGCAGCGCGAGCTCGAGCTCGGCCGAGTCCAGCGGCACCTTCCCGGCGGGTGGGGACGAGCGGGCCTCGCGGCGTCATCGGCGGCGAGGTGAGAGGCCGGGCCCGCGGGCACGGGGGGGCGGGCAGTGGGAGCCGCGCGGGCCTGACGTGCTGTGGCCTCATGTGGCCGCCCATTGCAGGAGCCGCTGCACCCCGGTCTAATGTCGGAAGCAGGTGAGGAGCAGCTCATGGAGACGACGGGCGCTACTGAGAACGGGCACGAGGCCGCCCCCGAAAGCGAGTCGCAAGCCGGGCCCGGCAGCGGGGCCACGGCGGGCGCTGGGGGCGGGAGCGTGGCGCCCCCGGCCGGCAACCAGAACGGCGCCGAGGGCGACAAGATTAACGCCAGCAAGGAAGAAGAGGACGCGGGGTAGGTGCGGCCGTGGGCCGAGAGGACGCCGCCTTTGTTCCGGGGCCGCCTTTTGTTGGCGCCACGCGGCTGGGGGAGGGGCGGACGACCGGGCCGGTTCAGGCCCAGGCCCAGGCCCAGTTCTCTGCGCCGACCTGCTGCGCCGTCGCTCCCGCTGGAGTTTGTAGGAGTTTGTTGAATCGACTTTGGCGCCGCCCCAGGGCTTCTCGCGCGGGGTCAGAAATGGAACTGGCGCCCGGAAGGGGAGTATGCTGGAACCCTGGGCCGGGCCCGTCTGGGCCCCTCGGGGGCTGCGTAGGCGGAGTTGAGTCCTCCTTCCTCCGCCTCCTGCCGAGGGCGGAGTTACAGTCTCAGCACCCGGAAGCTGCGGGTTCCTTCAGCTAATTTTCGGAAGTGGTGGAGACTGGTGGGGATGATAGTCTTTTGATATATGGTTGTTACACAAATTGTTTTCAGTTGTGAACACTCAGAGCCTGTACCATGGCCAGATTGTCCTTTTCCCTTGCCCAGTCTGGAGGTACTGCTTCCTGAAGTTTTGTCAGGGTCAAGGTTGAGTTTGGGAGGGTAGTGGAGATTTAACATCTTCCAAAGGTAGAGAGCTCTTAGGGGTCCCAGTGGTAGACTTGTTCTGGATGGTTTATTTATAGTCATTTCAGTGAAACCTTTGCCAGGGCCAGTCCTTCTAAAGTCACAGCTTTCTTATAAGACTCATGTGTCTCCCCCTACTATTTCAGAAAAATGTTCGTTGGTCACCTGAGCTGGGATACTAGTAAAAAGGACCTAAAGGATTATTTTACCAAATTTGGAGAGGTTGTTGACTGTACAATAAAAATGGATCCCAACACTGGCCGGTCAAGAGGGTTTGGGTTTATTCTGTTCAAAGATGCAGCCAGTGTGGAGAAGGTAAGCTGGGTACTTGTTATCAGCAGTATATTCTATGGACACCACTCTTAGAGCATGATTAGGTTGTGTGCTTTGGGAAAAGCAGAGAAAAGCTGCTCCTTGTCCTGTTTTTGAAAGAAGCTTAAGTGGGGTAGTGAGTATGGGCTGGAGTAGTCCAGAAGATGATAGTGGACATTTATTGCCTTCTTATCTTTATTCTGGATACCACAAACAGTTTTTTGTAAGGACTAGAGAAGAGTCCAAGGTTGCTATGAGATAGGCATTTTAATTTCAATTTACAGAAAACAAACTGAAGGCTCACAAGTTTAAGTAGAAGAGCTCACCCAGCTAGTTAAGTGTGGTGTGGGGTAAGGATTCTGATCCCAGCAGCTCAGATTCAGCCTGTGCTCTTAATCACTACTGCTTTACTTCTGGAAATAGGCCTTAAACTGGCACTGTCTAGGCAGGAAAAGGGGGTGTATGTATGGAAGAGGGGGTGTAGGGAAAAGTCTGGGTGTAGTGGTGAGTACTATTTATAGGTTAACCAGTTGTACTTGAGGTTTGAAGGTTGGGTTGGAAAGTCAGGTTGAGGGTAGACTTTAGAGGGAATGAAATGTTTTGTGTACGTGTTTTGGGGTTGCATAGCTCAAAGAAAAGAGCCTTGTACAGGCTCATGCTGCTGAGTTAAGAACCCGAATTCCTTCTGTTGGAACAGGTCCTAGACCAGAAGGAGCACAGGCTGGATGGCCGTGTCATTGACCCCAAAAAGGCCATGGCCATGAAGAAGGAGCCTGTAAAGAAAATTTTTGTGGGGGGTCTGAATCCTGAAGCCACTGAGGAGAAAATCAGAGAGTACTTCGGCGAGTTTGGGGAGGTGAGTGTGTGGCCTGGCATCTGCCCTGAGGTGGCCTCCTTCCTGGTTCTTGGCAGCCTTGGCTGACTGGAACCCTCTTCAGCAAGACTTATTATTTTCTGGCCTTCATGGACCTTTTCTCCTATCAGTTCCCTATGGGCCCAGGGGTTGGGGAGGTACTGGTCCTGAGCTTTGCCTGTGTTTACAGATCGAGGCCATTGATCTTCCAATGGATCCAAAGTCAAACAAAAGACGAGGCTTTGTTTTTATCACCTTTAAAGAAGAAGAGGAACCTGTGAAGAAGGTTCTAGAGAAAAAATTCCACACTATCAGTGGAAGTAAGGTAAGGTACTCGGCTCTGTGTGTGTGGCATCTTGCCACGGGAGGGCTGGCCCTTGCAGGTGTGGCTTAGGTGTTGGACTGCCTCCAGGAGCTCTCCAGTGTTGTGTGAGACCTTATTTTTCTTTGGGTCTGCTACCCTGAATAGGGGGCAGATGGTCCTATCCTGCAAGGAGCTCCTAGCCTGGCAGTACTGGCAGTAAGAACAGGATGTGAGGAAAGCAGGAGAGGAAGGGTGGCTTCTCTGGGATGGAGCAAGCATGCTGAGTACTCTCTTTGATTCTTGATTTAAGGCTAGAAATAAAGAGAGGGGTTCTGGATCTAGAGTGTAGTTCTCAGAATATTCTAGAACTTCTGCCATTCATTGATTTCTTTCCCTGGTGGTGCAGTCTTTCTTGCTATAGAAACTGTTGCTGAGCTTTTCTCCTATCTTGTTGCTACCACAACCAAATCTTTATTCATCTCCATCCCCTTTGGACACTGGTTTAGACATCCTTATCCCAGCAAGATCCTTCTCAGGGTCCTGGCTTGTTTAGATCCAGGGCCAGTTTTGCTTTCAAATGAGCAGCGGTGAGAAGTACAGCTGTTAACCCTGAACTCTGGTCTAGAGAGGAGAGGTAGTATGACTTTAAGTGTTCTCCAGGTGGCAGTTAGGAGTTGAGGGTGTGACAGGCTCTGTCTGTGCAGGAGTGGTCAGATAATGTTGGACAGGTAGTATGGGGCTCCTGAAAACTTACAATATCCTGGCTGGGAATTTGGAAAGATTGGATTGGGCTCTTATATTTTATGTAAAGTGAGGTTGGATCTGTTCCATTAGTTAGCCCAGTGGATAATGACAGGCCTTTTTCTCTGCCATAATGAGAAGTGGACAGGAAGAGCCTATAGGGCATCACTAGTCAAAACTGCCGGCCATTGGGTCTTAAAATAGTTTATTTAGTTGTATATTAATTCAGTAGGGTAGAAAAAATCAGATTGCATCACTGACGGGGTAATTTGCCAGTTTTTTTATAGGGAGTATCCTTGTATGTGTAATGTCTTTTATTGGTCTTAGGGGCAAAGTATGTGACAGGGTACTTTATTTTTATTTTTTTCTAATTATAAGAAAAGGTTTATTTAGAAAGTTACAAAAGAGGAGTAGAAGGGAGCCAGTTGGGCTGTGCAGGCTCAGGAAACAAGTTACAGAAGCAAAAGAAGGGCCCTTGGAACTTAGGGAAGGGGAAAACAAAGGTAACACTGGGGAAGCACTGGGGAAGGAGGGAGGGGTGGACATGAAAGGCTCAGTAAGACTTTTAGAGAGAGGGAGGAAGGGAAAGGGAGAGAAAGAAACATCGATGTAATACCGAATGTGAGACTGGAACATCTATTGGCTGCTTCCAGTACCCCCCACCCAGGGATTGAGCCCAAAACCTGGGCATGTGCTCTGACCATAATCAGTTCAGCAATCCGTCATCGGTGCACAGGAGGACATCATACCAACTGAGCCACACTGGACAGGGCTTTATTTTTATTTTTTTATTTTGTTTTTGTCAGGGTACTTTTAAAAATATACTTCTGATTTTATTTCAGCGGGAACACTGGAGGTCTCTGACCGTATTATCTCCACCCACATTAGGCAGGTTTTTGAGCAAAGCAGAAATTGACTCTGGGCCCTGAGGGGACGTAAGTTTGGGCCATCCCAACTACAGACCAGTGGTTGGCGGAGGGGTAGCAGTAGCAAGCAGTATGGCCTCAGGCAAGCCCTGCTTTGAGCCTCAGTGGCATTTTTTCCTCTGTAAGTTGGAAGTCAGAATCACCACTATACATTTGAGTGGGATGCTTCATTTCTTTTCCTGTAAAAATGTAAAGTAGAATCAGGAAGTCTCCTTATTCTCTATGGCCCCTCATCTGGGAACCGCTGACCCCCTTGCCTAGTAGGACCTGACTGTTGGTGTGTTTTGTAACACTGTGCTGGCATTGGCCCAACTGTCCCTCTTCTCTCAATTGTTAAGCAGCATGGAGCTGCCCTACCCCTGGGTTTGTGTCCATCCCCAGTACATTCTCTGGGAAAAGGTTTGAGGCAAAAAGGCCCTAGTGTGACTCTTGTTCTGTTTTAGTTATGGTTCTCAGACCTTCTAGCTCAAATGTAATTTCCCACCTTAGCATATTTTGTCATTGAGAAGATGGACCACATCTGTCATCTGAGTGTTTGTAAATGAAGGTTTTTATGCACAAGTGCCTCCCCAGAACTTGTCCCAGTGGCTTGACTTCCTGTCCCCTTGGCTTTTAGTGTGAAATCAAGGTGGCTCTGCCCAGAAAAGTCTACCAACAGCAGCAATATGGCTCTGGGGGCCGCGGAAACCGCAACCGAGGGAACCGAGGCAGTGGTGGTAGTGGAAGTGGAGGAGGTGAGTGAAACCTGCATGAATATAGATCTGGTTTCCCTGTTCACATGGAGATTCCGTGCCTGTCTTAGGGCCTCACTCTGGCCTCTGGTGTGGCAGGGTGGGCAGGGACAGGAATGACTCTTCTGGGTCCAGGCTGTGTTGCTGCTGGTTGGAGTGGAAGAGCCCATATTTCCCATGTGGTCTGGGGCCCCAGGGCAATGGGGGTATTTGAGTTGCACTCTATGAGGGGTGAGGGGGGCCTGATGGCTCTGTGGCTGTCCTGAGTCTTGGTTCACCCATGGGTGTGGGTACAAGGTAGGGCAGGGCAGGGCTGTGCCAGGCGCTTTATCTCCTTCCACCCTAGGCCCCTCTGACTCCAAAGCCTGAACTCTTTTTTTTTTTAAGGCCAAGCTGCCAGGGAGGGTAGGCATGATCAGAGAGTGAGTTGAGTGAGACTGAGTTCCCGCCTCTTTGGCCTTAAGTGAAGTTAGTATTCTCTTCTGTCCAGCCTTCACTTCTGCAGCTTGGGTCTTAAGTGCAGGGTCGGGCTCAGGGCCCTGTATACTAGGACAGCAGCTCCTTGGCTTCTATTTCTGAGTTGCCATAGTAATCCCGCCACCCAAAGGGCAGGATTTCCTCCATCCTAGCTCTTATGTGTGCTAAATGGTCCATGGGCCCCTGTGCCCTGCTCCCCCCACAGGTCAGAGTCAGAGTTGGAATCAGGGCTACGGCAACTACTGGAACCAGGGCTACGGCTACCAGCAGGGCTACGGGCCCAGCTATGGCGGCTACGACTACTCGCCCTATGGCTATTACAGCTACGGCCCCGGCTACGACTACAGTAAGTAGGAGAGAGGGAGGCCCCATCCAGTCACCCACCTGGGAAGCAGGACAGAGTGCAGGGGCTACTGGCAGCAGGGGCTTTTGGAGTCAGACAGGCTGGGCTTTGTAGCCTGCTCCAGGGGTGTTGGCTCTGGTGAGGATTTGAGCCAAGCGCTTGGCACAGGGATTGATGTTCAATAAATCTAGCTGCTATCATTGTTGTTCTTGTCCCTAGGTCAGGGTAGTACGAATTACGGGAAGAGCCAGCGACGTGGTGGCCATCAGAATAACTACAAGCCATACTGAGGTTTCGGCAAGAGTGCCCGTCTGACCGCACACGCTTTGTTTGGATATTGAGTGAACACAATTATGTACCAAATTTAACTTGGCATACTTTCTATGGCCTGTCCCATGTGCATCTTATTTAAAAAATTCCCCCCCTCCCCCCGAAATCACTCTCTTGTTTACTATTTCCAGAGCTCTACTTGTTTTAGGCAGTGTGTGGTGTCTCAGGCCAGAGTGGCTTTGTGGGCAGATTTTATTACTGGGTTATCCAAAACCAGGTGGGAGGGTCAGTTTCCTGCTGCCGCTCTGCAGCCTGGACCTGTGGACCCTGGTTGTAAAGAGGTCTATCTTAGAAAACCAATGTCACCTTTTTTTCACCTTTTAATTTTATATTATTTGTGTCATACATTTCCTGTAATGGAAGTGTTAATTTTACTGTACTTTTTGGTACCTTTTGGGAATCTAATGTATTGTAAGGTATTTTACACGTGTCCTGATTTTGCCACGACCTGGATATTGAAGCTATCCAAGCTTTTGAAATAAAAATGTAAAAACCCCCAAGCCTGGGTGAGTGTGGGGGATATACGGTGAAAAAGGGGTGGGGTGGGATCATGGCCTTGCATATGGCTTGGAGGTTTAAGGCAGTTGTTGATGGGGGTGAAGATTGTGCAGCAGGGACAGTACTGCCCCCAGAGTAGAGATTCTGAGGCACTTTGGAACACTTTTATCTTAACTTACCAATGAAAATGGGGTCTGTATTCCAGCAGGACTATGAACCTACATTCAAGGGTGCCCTCTCCTGGCTGAAATGTAATAGCTTGCTCTGGCTGCACCTATTTGCTGCTGGATTGGAGCACCTCAAGTGTGGTGGCAAGAGTCAGCAGCAGGGTGTGAGGCCCTAGGTGGACAGAGCTCCATAAAGGGAGTTTTGTTTCCCCTCACTTCTAGAAGAAACTGGCTGGGGAGGAAGTGGCTTCTGCCCTCTTGCCCCAGCTATTAAATGCAAATAGTTTTGGAGGTTTTCTGGCAGGGGTGGGTAGAAAGAGACCAAGGTAGCCAGAGCCTCACAATATTGAAAGTAACTTTTGGGAAGGGGGCATCATTTGAAAACAATTTATAATTGTGGCCCACTCACCTAGTGAAGGACATGACTCAGCAGGGCTGCTCCAGGGCCAGGTCTTAGTGTCTCACAACTTCTCACCCTTTCTTCCATGTCTGAAAAAGACCCCAGAGCCACCCAAACTGGTTAACCCTTTTCTTCTGAAGGCCGTTGCTGCCTCAGTGTCCGCCTCTTGGATGGCAGTTTAGAGATTGGGCCTACTGGACAGGCTCATGATCCCCACCCTTTATATGTACAAGGCTATCAACAATTTCTCTTAAGGAAAAAGCCAATCCTTAAGTTCCCGAGACTTTTAGATTCAGTTGGAGGCTCCTTTGTATAAGACCTAAGCCACTTTTGTGCCCCATCTCACCTAGCAGGTCCTGTCCCTTACCTCTTCCCAATTGTGTACAGTAGAGGTTGGCTCTCAGCTCCAGAGCCCTGGGGGCAGAAGTCAAATAGCCGAGAGGTGAGCAGGGAGAGGCTGGTCTGGTCTCTACCTAGAGATAGGACTCTACCTATTTAGGTGACCTGACCACCCCCCAATCCCCCAGAGCTCTTTATGTACAGCCTCAGTGCATGTACAGGGCTAATTTGGTAATTATAGATTTCCTTGTAATTGGAGAGACTCTGAGTGATGTTGACGTTCTTTTTTTTTTTTTTCCTCCTCGAGGACATTTTTCCATTTTTTGTTCAGATAGAATGGGAGGGAGAGAGGAAGAGAGAAACATCCACGTGAAAGGGACACATCGAGTGGCTGCCACCCACATGACCAACCAGGGCCGGGGACAAACTACAACCGAGGTACGTGCCCTCAGGGGGAACCGAACCCCGGTTTCTCATGACTGCAGGCCCACGCTCTAACTGCTGAGCCAAACCGGCCAGGGTGATGTTGACGTTCTTTAGATGATTTGAGAAGAGAAAATCTCATTGTGTTCAACGTGGGCACAAATCTTTTTTTCAGCCCCTCAGCAGCTGTTTGTGACCCTTAGCCTCAAGTTAAAACACTTCTACCATCTACATTTCGCAGTGGCTTTTAGGCCACAAAATGAGGTGTAGTTCTGATGGCTGAGCTCATAAGCCCAAGCCATGTTACCTTTGTCTTGCATCCCACACTGGAACCTGCTTAGGCAGATGGGTGCTGGCTCAGCTCCCATCTACCCAGTGCTTGGGAGGCTCCCCAGGCTCAGGCAGAAATAGGGGAGACCTGGGTCAATAGAGGACCCTTCTTCACTTCAGCTCCTTGTTCCCTGCACTGTCCAAAGGACACCTGGCTCAGCTGTTGAGCCCCCTCCACGCTGGATGGTTCTAGCTGCCAGCTCCAGGTTACGTTCTAGGGACAAGGTCAGCTGTCCCTTGGGCTTTATGCTTACCCGTAAGGATGGCATCCAGCTTTGCCACCACGTGTTGTACGTTGTCCAAAGTGAAGCACATTGGTGGCTTAAACTTCAGGACATTCCTCCCAGGGCCATCAGTGCTCAGCAAAATGTAGTTTTCCTTCAGCCTGTAGGATAGGACATAGCAAGGCCCTGCTACCCACCAGCTCAGGGCCCTTCACATGGCCTTAAAAGATCCTGTCCTTGGCCTCCTGGCCAGGGCTTTAGCCCCACTGTTCTTGGAATCCTCCACAGGCCAGTTCCCCCCAGGGCATGGAACTGGCTATCCCTTGCAAAACTCAATGCCCATTCTTAGTGGCCCATCTGGGGTGCCCTGTACCTGGCCCTGAGCCTGCTGCCCCTCTGCAGGCATCTAGTTTCATCTGTCCCTGGAGTTCTAGTCTCAACTAAGCCAAGACTAGCCCCAAGGCTACAATGTAGTCCCTGTGTTTTCCATTTTATATATGGTTTATATGATATGTATGGCTTACTTTGTATATGTGTGGAAAATGTCATTTTAGAGAATGGTACAGTGAGCTCCATGTAACCTTACCTAGCTTCAGTAATTTCCCCTGCTTCCTGTGTATAGGTAATCTTGGCAATCCCAGACAACACTCAGTTCTAATTTGTAGTTCTTTTTAGGAAGATGACTCTATCCTCCTTAATATCGTTGGTATGTAAGACTCATTTTTTAATACTCCACATTTACACTTTTAATCTAGGAAGGTGCTCTGGCCAGGTAGCTCAGTTGGTTAGAGCATCGTCCCAATATGCCAAGGTTGTGGGTTCGATCCCCATGCAGGGCACATACAAGAATGAGCTAATGAAGGCATGAATAAGTGTAACAACAGATCAATGTTTTTACTCTGAAAAAATAACAGGAAAGTATTTTGACCACCAAGAGAAGTGGTCTGACACTCTGACTTCCACTCATTCTTTTTTTACTTACTGTTACTAATTTTTAAAATTAATTTTAAAGAGAGGAAGGAAGAAGGGGAGAGAGACATCAATGAGAGAACATCAGTTGGCCACCTCCCACATGCCTCCCACTGAGGATCTGGCCCACAACCTGGGCATGTGCCCTGACTGGGAATGAACTGGTGACCTCTTGGTGCATGGGTTGACACTCAACTACTGAGCCACACCAGCCAGATTTATTCTGTTATTTTTAAGTCTCATCAGGAACCACAGTCACCCCTGGCTGCCTTCTGGCTCCTTTCTCCCATCCTGTTCTTCCTGACACTAACTATGGTGGTGTGAGAGAGAATAAGGTCTGGACTTCAAATTCAGCTCTGCCACTTACTAGCAGGGTGACTGCAGGTGAAACATCCACCCTTGGTACCAGTTTCCTAGCTGAACTGGAGAAATCACCATAGTGACTGAGATGGAAGAAATCAACTGGGGCTCAAATCTGACTCCTTCCCATTGGCCATGGTGGATTCCTGAGTCTGGAGGGGGTGGGGTGGGGGTAGGCCCAGCCAACAGAGAGAAGGCAGGGACTGGATGATCACATAGGGGAGGGGTCAGTCTCAAAAAACCATATGGAGGGAAAGATTTTTACATTAATTTCTACTGATTTATGTGAATTTCAAACAGAATGGTAGACATTTCCCAAGGGTTTTCTGAGGTTGGGGGAAGGGGTAGGAGTGAGGAATGGAGATAAAAGGGAATGACAAGTGGAAGGGTCCTGAGGTTGGAGTCCTTCCTGGGTTCAAGTGAAAGAAATATTAACTGGGTTGGGTGTTGGCTTCTGAGTTCAGAGATGCTGGTCCATCCAGACACACCCCACCTGGACCCTGTCCATCCCCAGTCCCTGGTGTGGCCCTGGAAAAGCTGCTTTCCTTGGTCTTAGAGCCCAGGCAGCTCTTAGCAGCTCTGGCATCCTGGCAAAGGTGGTGCTCGGGCTGGCAATGACCTGAAACCTTTGCTACTGGGTATTGGGCACAGAGCTGATGGAGCTGCTTTTTCTATCTGCGGACCTCAGTCAAGTGGGTGCACAGCTAGACCACCCCTCCCCCCTCAAAGTAGTGTGCATGGTAGATGGAAGGAGAGCCAAGAGGGAGGCTTCTTCCCTGTTGGGGCCCTAAACTCTGCAAAGGCAACTTGTTTGAAGTACCTGGATATCAAGTATTCAGCCTCTTCGGTGGCTGGCATTCTTGTGGTCTCATCTTTGATCAAATCCACACCAATGAAGAGCCCGACGCCCCTGGAGCAGAAGGCAACATCTGAGAGTCCAGGCCTAAGGAACCATGGGCCTTGCCCTTGCCCTCTGATTGGGTCTCAGTCAGGCACCATTGGAAAGTCCACCAGAGCTTGTACCTCTGTCTCCAGGGAAGACTGAGAGCCACAGGAACTGGTGGTGATGGTGTGTGTGTGTATAGGCAGTAACTGCAATGGGGAAGGGCCCTTGCTGTGGACAGAGGAAAGGTTGGGGATCATAACTGTCTTCCCCTCCCTAGAAGTGCCTTTTTGGGTAACAGCCCTTAGTGCAGTTCTTTCCCCGTGGAGTGGAGAGTAAAACTCCCACCATCACAGGTAGTAAGGAGGTGAAAGAAGGAATGACTCTAGGCCTTTTGTGGGTGCTTGGTTAGTGGGTACTGACTGCTGCTCTGAGTCTCACCTGATGTCCCCGATGATGGGATGTTTGGCTTTCTGTTTCCTGAGGAGCTCCATCAGGAAGCTGCCCACACAAGCAGCGTGAGCCTGCAGCTGCTCCTTCTCCAAGACATCCAGGACTGCCAGTCCCACTGCACAGGACACTGGGTTGCCCCCAAACTGAACCAGGGGCAAAGGTCATGTCACACATCCAGCAGAGCAGGCCATGCCCAGTGAGGGTGAGGGCAGCAGAACTGCCCCACACATTCCAAGGGTAGTGATGAGAACACAGGCTCGAACCCCTCGAGTTCTGCTGAGGTCCCTTTGGGCTGTCCTGCCTTTCCAGGTGCTAATGATTGTAACCCAGGTCAGGTACCCCCAAGGATGCTGTAGGAGCTCTGAGAAGATGAGTCAGAGGAAACTGTTGTATATTCCCACAGAGCTGGTTTTGGTCAGGAGGCTTTAGGGCCCCATCTCATGGGCTGGGCCCAGACCCACAATTTATTGG